TTTTTTTTTTTTTTTTTTTTTTAAATATGTAATATGAAATAACCCACGAGCAAGGCCAAGCCATTCAGCGCATCTCTCCATCACGGGTCAATTAAAATGGTCATGAGGTGGGCCACTCTTTGAAATCAAAGCCTTGCTGGGGTTTAGGGGCGCTGGCGGCATACCCACCTTGGTTGCTTTCTCCTCCTTGATACGAACGCTGAGGATAACTGGTGTCAGCGTAATTACCATATGCAGAGTACCCAGTATAATCCGGAGTTTTAGCTGAACTGCTACTGGACCCAGGTGCACCTGAGCCGGTGGTCTGTCGTGAATACATGTCACCTGGAACATTGATTTTCATCGTATTATCCAACTTCCCCACTTACCTCGTTTCGTTTATTCATAAGCTGTGGGATATACTTCTTCCCACGGTAAAGATACATTTTTGATACTTTTCATGGCACTTTCAAGCCATCCAAGATTATATATTCTTCAATAATATATTAAAATTATGAATATTTATATAATTGGTGAATTGAACGAAAGTATCTAAAATATATCTCTCTTGTCTTTTCTCTTTTTTTTTTTTTTTTTTTTTTTTTTTACGGAAATATATAATAAAGAATATTTTCAAAATATAGAGGGATTATATTAAAATTATCGAGATCAGTTTTATGTTTAGAGAACATGTATAAGATGTTACATGTAAATGGAAAGCATCGTGAGAAATTAAAAATCGAATGCAGTTTACGTTAATTTTATAAAAGATTGATTATGCAAAATAAGCAGAGAATTGTACTGATCTCAGAAGATTACAAACGAATCAACATCTATCGTAATTAAGAATAAAAATTGTTAAATAATTTTATTATATTATATGTATAAAATTAAATCGAGCGAATTTTTATAAAGAACTGATAAAGAAAATCTAACAAGAAGTTGCAAAAAAGGTATTAAAAAAATTAATTTGAACAGATATGAATTCGATTCAGATTATACTGGTCGACAAAGGAAATGGGAAAAACGAGATCAGGATTGCACTATACTACATTATAGTACATTTTTTTTTTTTTTTTACAAATTCAAAATTTTTATATTCCTTTTTTTACAATGGCATTACAATAGATTAGAAGAATATAAATACACTTAAAAAATTATTTGCAAATATCTAGTCTACTCTAAAAAATACGACAACTAAAGGAACACTGGCCAATTACTTTTCTGGGAGGTATTAAAAAACAACCAATGAAAGTAGAAAGAAAATATTTGTATTGGATTACAAATAGGACAAAAAATGATCGATTTCGGATTAAAAAATTACAAAAATTAAGAGTGATGTAATGGATGAATAAGTGCGGAATGCCGATGATTACAATACTACGATATCCACTGAATCTTGTCTAAAACGTTTGTAAGCATAACGAATATTCTAAGCGTAGCTCTCTACCTTTAAGTATATACTAATAAAGATATATATAAAACGATGTGATTTACATTTTTTATAATCCTAAATTGATCTGCATTAAAACTACGTATATTTATAATTTGTACAAATGAAATTACATGCTCTCAACATTCTAGACGCAAAAAAGAGAACAAGCGCAAAGACATGTAAAAATTACCAGATAATTAAATGAACTAACGAATGTGCAAATATTAAGGAATCGAGGAACAGCAGAGGATTGTAATAGGATTCAAATTTTATTCAGTAAAAAATAAATTTTTCTCTTCCATTTACAACACAATTTAAAATTCTTCGGTTTCTCGTTCTTCCAACCTCAATGCATGAAAAACTCATCTCTCGGTGAACTCCAAAAGCCAATAACATTAATTTATTGTATGTTAACAGACAAAAGTTATTATAAAAGAAACAGGCATTACATTTCTTGTGGACGATCTAAAGGAAATACTTAACTGTACAATAAATTTTTCCGCAATAAAAAATACTGTTAATAAGCGAAGCATGATCTCTCTCGATATATCACGCCAAATTACAATCATGCCGTCTCACTTCGCCGCGTGTTTATCGATCGTTATTAAAAATAATGATCAGTCTGTATACAAACACACCCTGATACGACCAGTGATAATGATTTTCTAATTAGTTAATTATCATATACGTATAAAAAAATATTTTTTTTTTCTTTTCTTTTAGTTTAAACAGATAGAGAAAGAAGAAGATAGAAAGAAAGACAAAAAAAAATCAATAGATAATAAAATAAAATAATTTATAGCCAGGCTCGACTATGTGAAAATAGAACTGTATGATGCGAAAGGGTGGAAAGAGGAAAGAGTTTGTTTGACTGAGGTTGAAGACTCACCCTGCGGGCCAGAGGGGTTCGAGTTGGAGTTGGGCTGCGAGGAGTTAGGCTGAGGGGGCTGAGGTGGTGGCTGAGTCCCAGGAGGGGGCCCATT